TAACTTAATATATTTTTACAAACATTTTAATAGGCTTCTTACTAGGTAGCATTAACATAGTCAAGAAGATTCTCCCATCATGATTTTGTGGGATAACTAGAGGAATACTTTTTTGTATTACCCTAATAATCGTCTTTTTATAAATGACTGCTTAGTACATGATCTCAACTAAGTGGATTTTGATTTTAAATTGCATAATTTAAGTATTCAACTAAACTGAATTCAAGTTTTATTCGTTCCTAACCTGAGGCCTACCTTTATTGTTGTGAGGACAATTTAACTGCCATTTTTCTACGCTGTCGTTTTTTTAAAGTAGAGTCGATGTACATTATATCAAAACCTAGAGATTTTGATGAGTAAACATTTGAATCAAAAGCTAATAATGACGTTGCCCTATTTAATTACGAGCTGTATGTATTTTAACTTTCTCGGTAACTTCTACAAATAAATGTGAGGTTCTGCTTTGCGATCGTGTTTGAACCCAATTTTCACAAACTACATGGCTCAATTCGAGAGCCGCCTATACAAGAGGCTCTTTTGATTCCTAGATTATTGGTTCGGTATACTGATAACTACTTTTCGGTTTTGAAACATTATATAATAGATGGGGAGACCACATTCACTCTTTATAATTAAAAAGGATGGCAGTATACCTTTTATAGATGTCCTAGTTAATAAAGTGGAACTCAGATAGGATATAGATGTGATTAGGAAATATATAAATGTAAGTTTTATTTTGAAATAATTGTCAAATCTTACTTGTGATTAAAGTAAGAGTAATGAAATCCATGATAATAAGGAACCTGTGTATTACAGATGTTAATCACCGTATTCAGGAGTTTGGTCGATTAAGGAAAATCTTGATTGATAACAATTACCAATCAGGATTAATCGACAATTATTTTGTGTTATAATTGCGAATAGATGGAAGGGGATATATATTTGGGGCTGTATAGGCAACGGCGCCACCATATGGACCGAAGGCTTCCTTTCTATCAGCTCTCGAAGGAGGCTCGAATTACAAAGTGAGACATAAGAACAATACATGATGAGAAAATATTTATTTCCTCTGCATTGCTAATTTTTCCGAAACTTTCGGACCTTCAAAATCTGATTGTTGCAAAGTTTAATGTTCGTGTGGTTGCGTCTCTGTGGGAAAGGCCTGTCGATCCCTGCATAAGAGGTTATCTGAACATAAAACAGCATGCAAAAGATTGTGGATTTAAACCTAGCACAGTTCCATTTTGGTCTTGATATTTTTGTAAGTTTAAAACAGTCGTAAAATAAGATCAGTTTTCGACTCTTTGCCTCAAAGATAAAATGATCTTTTTGATTTTTGATTCGTTTTTTTAGAAACCGAATTCATGCGATTCTGCTCAACTTCATCCATGATATATTTACCTTTGTAAAATGTAATGCTACTGATAGCTTGCGCCTTGCACTTCTGTATCAGTATTCTTATTTAGCTGCCCAGTATTTTGACTTGTCGTCTATTCTGGACGACAAAAAGAGTTTGGCTAATATAATAAAAATTAAGGATTTATATCTATTAGACAATAGGCATAAGATAGTTACTAGGGTCACTGCCTTAGTAACTGCCCTTCTTACATTTTTTTCATCTTACCTCCATAAACCTTATTTTATTTAGGCTGGAGATCGGTCTCTTGTCAGCGTTATCGCACACGAAATCGCCCATTCTTGGACTGGCAATCTTGTCACGAACAGTTCATGGGAACATTTTTGGTTGAATGAAGGTCATACTGTGTACGTAGAGCGGCTCATAATTGAGAAGATGTACGGTCGTCAGATGCGACAACTTCATTTGTCGGTCGGCTACGAAGAGCTCAAGCAGACGGTAAGAAACTTTGCATTTTTGGTTTGAGGCTTTTGTCTTATGCTTTTAAAATTAGTTTATTGCAATCAAGCAACTTACTCTTTAATCAAGGGAAAAAATCAAAGAGAATAATGAAATTTTCTTAGGCTTATTTATCTGAGAATGTGTACTTTTGTGGATGCTTCGTCTATTTGTGTTTGCCACTAGACTCGATATATTAAGAAGTGTTTTTTAATTTCAAATAGGTGGAGCGGCTATCATTTCATATAAGACCAAACAAAATTTGTGTATCTTACTAGCAAATAAAAAAATTTGATATTAGTGACCAACTGGGTATTAATTACGTCTTGGTTACCTTGTTTTCGCAACTTGATTCATTTCCATACATTTCACCTATATCGTCAGCGAGGAGTTCTATCGTTAGCAAAGAGTTAGAACTTATTACTTACCACTTTGATGAGGTGTAACTCTGTGCTAACGATGACGCCTCTCACTGTTTATGCCAATGAAATATATGAGGATGTACCAGGTAAATGATCCGATGCTGGAAATCACGAATATTATGGCAGAGTACGCTGGACTGTAAAGCTAAAGGAGACTGAGACCAAAGAAAAGGCCACACCATTTTGGTCTTTATATCTAACAAGTAGCTAGAATAGACTGTTCTAGCCTGTGTGGCCCCGGAAATTACATCTTTCTTGAGTTTGAGTTCAGTTGAAATTGCAATCCATCCTGAGTAAGAATGACCTTTGCGATTTCTCACCAATTAGTAGAAGAGCAATGTTTTTGTGTCAGTGCACGAACTGACAATATTAGCTTGTCGCTGTAATAGCTATTGAAGACCAGTTAAAGTGGAGGATATCTCAGATGGCTTCGTTCAATGAATGTTATAAATGATTTTAGATTGACTTTTTTCTACCTTTTATGACGTTGTATTAGAGAGTAGTGGCAAAGACTTAGGCTTGTGTTAGCTATTGACAGACTTAGGAATTATTTAATCTCCTTTGCTCAGGTACTGCAATATGAATGCAAATAATCATATTTCCAATTTCATCACGTTCATAATGGCATTAAGATGTCTCGAGTTTTTCTTGGTCATAATGGCTAAGGTTATTCTGTCCGAATTACTCGGTATTTTAATTGAATCTTTTGCTTTGTCGCTGTTTCTAATCCTTTTTCAGACCTCTCTGTTTTAATTGCTTTTATTATTACTAGCCCTTCACTTTTAGAAAACTTTGCTGTAGCTTTTTTGTAAGAAGTATGTGTACACATTTTTTTGATTATTTAATATCCTATTAATATACCTATCTTGGTCTTCACACCTTTGGTTAAATGAATATTTACTTCAAATTAATCAAAATTTTAGTGTTTATTTTATTAAGTTTTTAGGTTCGTGACCTTGGAGAATGCAGTCCTCTGACCAAACTGATACCGGATCTCCGTAATGTCCATCCGGATGATGGCTTCTCTCGAATTCCATATGAAAAAGGCTCGCTTCTCCTCTATCACTTGGAAACGCTTTTCGGGCATGGTAATTGGACTGAGAACATCAAGATTGTAAATAAACTTAACTGTTTAAATGCAAACACTTATTCTGACTAAAATCCTA